TTCATTAATGGTCGTATTTGTGCCTGTATTTATTTCAAAAAGATTTCCAAAAAGTCTACATGATACAACTGTACTGTTTATAATACTAAAAATTAGGAGACAGTGTATTATGCACTGATTACAATGTAAATTTTAAATGTGAATAGGACAAGTTGTTATGTTGAAAATAGACTTGAATAAAAAATTAGAGTTTTGGTCCTATTCTCAGATCTCAAAAAGGAAAGCATTCCAATAAATTTTATTTTTAAAATAAAAGAATTCCTTTAAAATTATTAAGTGATTATTTCAAATATCAAGAAGAGTATCAATTTAGTGCTGTAATTTCTCTCTAATGCACATTACAGGAAAAATGATCTGTGTATATACGTATACAAATGAAAGTATATATACACATGTATATGCATACAAATGGAGTATTTTTTTAAATTTATGAGTAATGGCTTTTGAGTTTATACCCTTTGGTGCAGAAATAGTTGTGATTTCATACAATACGTGTTTTAATAAAATGCAAATTTCTTTACTTGCATAAAAATATATGTTGAACATTTCTAAATACAGTCAAGAAACTTCCAGGTGAAGTTTGAAAAAGAACCGCTATATGATTTCCTTTTGTATTGTAAAAAATTCCCAGTGACTGTGTGTTGTGCTTCTGTGTCCAGACCTCCAAGGCAGTACACCTCTTTGGTTTTATTGCTGCCATGTTTCTTCAAAGCATTCAGTATTTATTCGCATGTGGCATTTCTCTGTTCATTGTTTGAACAAAAATAGCTCAATTTGATGACTGTCAGATGTAGAGTGGTTATTTCCTAAGTTTAAAAACAAATCTGTTTCTAACAATAGATATTATTTTCCATAATTCAGATAATTGATGCAACGTGCACTAACACATTTTCAGAAAAAAAGAGGATTTTTACACTCAGAAGGAGAAAGTGCAGGTTAAAATAACAGTCTGTTGTTCTGTACCTATGTTGATACTGTTCTTTAGTCAGTATGCCTGTATTCTTTGTTCATGGGCCTAAAGCATTTATTCTCAATATTTAAGATGTAAAACCAAAACCAGTATAGATTATGACAGAACACCTCTGAATCCTTAATGAATTTTGGAAAGAGCCAATCATAGATGTGTGTGACAAGAATATTCCTCACAAGATGTTTGCTGAACTGGGGCATTGTTCCAAGTTACCTCATTGAAGACATGACAGAAAATTAAGCTTAAATATACTTCATGTGCCAAATGTTATCAATGACTTGCTGTCCCTCCATGTTTGTCCTGGGAAGCCAACTTTATGTCTGTTGATACTTTACAGACTGTAGTTCATTCAAGAAATGTCTAGCCTAACAGCTGATATATGCCATTTATTCCAGTGATACTGGTGATTTGCATAGATGTATATAGAAGGAGAGTGGTGGGACAGAGGTCTAATTCAACAGACTTTCCTGTTTTTTAAACTACTTTCTGTATAGAGTTGGTCATCAATATTAAAGTTGCAGCTATAGGTAAGAGTTCTTTATTCTGTGTCTGTAAAGCATGCTGACCTTTGCCTCCAAATGTGGATATGGCTACAGTTACCTGCCACTTTCCATTGTGAGGTTAAGTTTAGGTATCATTTGCCTTTTTTTTTTTAACAGTTTGAGGATCTTAAACTAGCTATCCATGGTCTGAAATTGTCTTCATAGTCACTGGTTAAAGAGAATTTACCACTGCATTTTATTCTTGAGTAATTCAAAGTATGACTTTTGATTTAAACAATTAGCTATTAGTCCAGTCACATATTTTTACCTTCTCTCTCTCCTCTCTCTCTCCTCTCTCAATGATAACGCTGTGATCATTGCTATGAAACCTCATCCTAACTTAAGAAGAAGTTTTAAGGTTAGGTTTTCTTTATGAAGAGAAATCTTTCCCTTGGAACTAGTTCAGCCTTTTGCCCAACAAGTTTGATGATAACCTTCAGAGTATCCTAAAGCAATCGTTTTTTCTCTTTAACTTCTCTTTAACTTCACAGAGTAGAAAATCACTCAGCATATAGACGTAAATCTATTTTTTCAGGCAAAACGATTTTGTGGATTGGTTTACAGGCTATTTATGAAGATGGGAAAAAATTACATATTTTTAAAGTTTCATTATTGTTAAAATAGACATTGCAAAACAAACCTACATAAACTCTAAATAAAGGGAATAACCAGATTCAAATTATTGAAATGCTCGCCAATTTAACTGTAATAGAAGTGCTCATGTTTGGTAACTATGGTGTTCAGTTCTTGCTGAATAATATAGATTGGTTTTTTTTAACAGGAGCCTCCTAAAATAAATTGAAGACCCTTTAGACATTTTCCAAATAAAATCTCACATTTAGTTGTTGCCAGGAAGCTGATTGACGTGTCTGTATTGTGAGATCACCCAAAGCTTCTTAGCATACCTTCTTGAAATACTTAACTCTAATAGAAACAAAAATAAACCTTGTACTTCAATTTTTAACGTCTGGATGCTATTTTTCTTGCTAATTATTCTCTCAGCTCCTTTGGCTCCTAGCTTGACATTCATCTTAGCAACAGCTTTAGTCAAATCACATTCTTTGCCCCAGTAGCCTACCTGAACATGTTGCTATGTTCCTGGTCCTGTGCAACAGTAGATACTCCTAGCAAGAGGTGCACTGTACAGCTCCAGTGCAGAAACACGGAAGGAACTTAGGTCTGTAGTGCACTGTATCATTCGGGACTCAAATTGTTGTGTAGAGGAGTGGCACTACTGCTTAATGCTTGTGCAGTGGTTCAGTGATCATTAGATACGGCTAGAGAGTTGTTTTCAGTTTTAAGGCGAGTCAGAGCTAGCATAGCTGCACTGGCAGCTATGTGGACTTGGCAAGCGGCATTTTCGGGTTTTATTTCCATTTATTAAATCTGCCAGCTTTCTGATACAATCTTAGAAGTGAAATGAATTTTATTTATGGGATATAAATAAATTGCCAATTACTGCCGTGGCAATCATGTGCATTTACAAATTGCTTGACTGTGAAAATTGATGAATAACTTGCTACTCATCAGCAGTAAATTTCACATTATAATATCTGAAGGAGTTTTCTGTCAAAATATTAGACAGTATTAACAATGTTCATTATTGATACAATAGCTGCACTTCTACTTTGTTTAGCATAGTGCTTTTACTGCAGTGGTTTGTTAGCTGACCATATATTCAGAAATAACCTTAATTTCTGAATTACCAACTCACTAAAAAGAAATGCCTTAAAAACAATATTAAAGCGAGTCTCGTAAACCAAACTTCTATTTGAACATAAAACCAGAGAGACAGATGGAAAGTAACTTCAAAATTCAAAGTTCTAAAAACTAAATTCAAAATCTCAACATGAAGTTGTACAAATACAAAATTAAATATATGATCAGAGAGGAGTAACGAAGCTTCATCTCCTCCTTGTCCATCTGTCCAGACTGTTAGTACATGAATGTCTGGGACGATTACTTCCTTAGAACTGTTCTCGCAAAACAACTCACTGGAGTCCCGGCCATAACTGTGCGTACTGTGAAATGTTTTGTCATTCTCCTATCAACAGTGTGTTGTGGTATAATGATGTAGACTTTGGGTTTTTATATCATATGAGAAAGTACTAGAAGGTCAGTCACAGCTTTTTTTTATGTTAGTGAAAACTCATTTTCTCCGTTTTCATTTTTTGATCGATAGAAAATGATGACTCGGTGTCCTTGTCTGGATGAGGTGCTAAAAGTACACAAAACTGTTTTATGTGATTGACAACATAATTGGGGAGAGAAAAAAAAAAAAGAGACAGAGAAAAAGAAGCTGAAAGATGCCAGAAATTGAGTACAAACAGAACAGAATGAAAGTGATGATTTTAAAACCATGCAGTAAACTGGAGAAGGAATAAATTATTTTCATTTGCATTATTTGTGTCATACGGTTTTCTGTGAACAATTTTGAACTGAATATTGAGTATTCCAAATGTTAAGTATTTGATGCTTCATCCTCTTCAGGTGAACAGAGGTCTTAGCTAGGTATTTCCTGAGAACCAGTAAGTCCTTAAGTTACAAAATAATGTATTAATTTCCTTAGGTACTTTCTAGTATGATTTCAAACCTCAGTTTACTTTTTAAAGAAGTCATAATTGTATTGTTCACCAAATTCAGACTAGCGAGCTCTTACCAAAATGTAACAAAATGTTTTTAAAAAGTTTCTTTCTGGCCGCCCCTGTTCCACATTGCTGGAAAAGCCTTCAAAATAAATGATGTAAAATGCAGGGTGTTTCCAAGGCCTGGGGCAAAGGTTGAGCCTGTGATTTATTAGGCATCATTATAATCTAACGGATCAGGGTCTCTCACCTTTCAAAAGGGACCTGCACTCACTCCTCATGTTTTTGCTGGTCTCTGTCTTTATCCATTTCTACTGTGGCTTTTCACATTTTTTTTGTGTGTAGCACCTGAATCCACCATGTCTCTTCTGCCACATACCTCCTTCTTTCACGCAGCGGGTGGAGGAGTCTGGGACAGACCTCATAGCACAATTCCTCCCAAAAGCTAAATTTGTCGACTTCAGAAGGTTTAGCAGCCAAATTGTATAATGTGCCCAGCACCCTTTACTCTTGCCAGTTTTGGAAGGGCATGAAGGAGCTTAGCACTTTCTAAGACTGTGAGCCTGCATGAGGGAAGTTTCAGGGCTACTGTCAAAGGAATTTCTACTCTTGGTAATGGGGAAAAAAGCAGTATGTCATACAGCAGCCACAAAATTGTACTATGAAGAAAAGTTGTATTAATTTCTTTTTATGTAGATGAACCTTAACAATGCTTTAATACAGTCATAACAATGAATTATCTTCCCAGTCTGACACAGTTTATCCTTTTATTTATTTTTATGCTCCTGCCCAGGACCTGTCTTTTCCTTTTTCAAAACAGACCATGAAAACATGTTTCACTGGTATTTCTGGCGATGGGCAGAAGGTGTGGCCATTTTACTATATGTTTTTATGTATCTACAGATGCAGCAGCTTGAGAAACAAGTTATAGATGCTGATCGTCAAGCAGAGAGAGCTTTTCAGCAGGTATATATATAAACTGAAAAATATCTCCACTAGCTGTGTGCATGTTACTGTAATGAAGGGAAATTGAGAAAATTGCTATTTTTCTTAAGTATTGCTCAAAAGGGAGAAGGCAGTTTCTTTTTACCTCTACTGATTTGTCTTACCAGAGATATTCTAACACCTTTCTCTGCTCACTGTCCAGTTCAGTTCAATAAAGTCAAAGCTAACAGCACAAATGAAAAATAGATACATGTAATGAGCTGCTTCATTGACGCATCATGAGTCTTTGATATATGATGCACATGGAAACAGAAGGGAGAGGTAACAGTGACCTATTTTAGAAAATCTGTAAGAAAATAAAATGAGGCTATGCAATACAGTCTCTAAAGAGGATTATTTGATGTTGTTTGTTCTTCTTGTAGAAGTGACGTAATTCAAAGCATGAGATTATGGCTAAATATTTAACCAAAGTTTCCTTTTGATTCCAAATGGCAGATACAGCTACTGCGGACATTTTATGAACATATCTCTGGTATTCCCTAAAAATCCTTCCTATCTTACTGTGAGACAGATAGAAACTGAAAATCGTAAGAATAAAAACGTTTATGTGCTAATTTGGAGTTAGAAAACATTCCTGAGTACAAGCCAAGTACTTTTCAGCAGTTTTTTATAATGCTTCTGATAATTTTGGTTTTTTTTTTTTACACTGTGCAATTGCTTAGTTATTAAAATGCCTAACAACAGCTCCCTATACATAAATTGTATTCTTTCCATATTGGCGGTTCTAACAGCTTGTGTGTTAGAAACCTAGAAGCCTCACTAATACTAACAAAATCTGTATAAGGTCTATCAGTGTTTTGCTAGTCCTGTTGGTATTAGATGCATAGTGAGATGTAACGAACTGTAGGATTTCTTCTCATATAGGCTTCAGAACTTTGCGGGGTTATCTTGAATCTTAAGTGTGGGGCAATTTTAACAGTCCATTTTGCCATTAAGTTACTACCTTTAACTTGGAGTATTATGTTTCTTAAAGTCTTATGTTTGACCTTCCAAATAGGTACAGGTCATGGAAGAAAAATTAAAAGCAGCTAATGTTCAAACGAGCGAATCAGAAACCAGGTTGTATAAGAGGTGTCAAGATCTGGAGCTCCTGATACAAGATAAAAATGACATAATACAAAAATTGGAGCAACAACTGGAAGAACAGGTTAGAAATAACGGCGTTAAAAAAGATGAGCATCAATTCCATTCTTAATTACACAAAAGGAAAATAAAAATTAAGATCAATAGAGGACAGAAAAGTTTAGCATTATTTCTGTTGTTTGATTAAAGAGGTTCCCATTAGAAGTATGTAATCTGAATTAGGTTATTCACTTGCACATTATGCTCTGGCTTCCTTTGAAAGAACATCTAACTTTTAAGAGGGGAAAGATGATCTTCCTCTCCACTGTCTCCTCTGAAGAGCTTTCATTTTCCCTAGAGGAAAGAGGAACAGCAGCCTCTGTGAAGGTCCTCTTCACCATTTAAAAAAAAATCACCTTATATTGCCCAGGAGACTTAATTACTTCAAGCAGCCTTAGGATTTGTGCCTAAAGATACTACTCAGGCAGACTATAATACTCAGTGAAAAATATGCTTATGTCATTTTTTTTTCAGAAGCAAGTAAGATTGCAAGAAGCAAAAATCATAGAAGAAAAAGCAGCTAAAATAAAAGAATGGGTGACAGTCAAGCTCCATGAGGTATAACTCTTGCTACAATACTTACACAGAAAATATAATGGTGTGACTGGATATCCCTTAGGCTTTTTGGCTGTTAAAGGGCATTGTGCCATAGTAAAAAAAATGCTTCCCAGTTTCATTGATCTATACAGTCATTTGCTTGAAAGAGGAAAAATTAAAACAACAGCACAGAGGGCAGAGTATCCATGTCACTTGAATTCTGATGTCTAATTTGGTCAGCTAGTATATTTGGGTCCTTTTCATGGAGAAAGGGCCCAGAACTGCTCTCTGGAAGGTGAGAGAGATTAGCTGGCAAACTGAGTTTGCTCAAGTAGATGCCTAAAGTGTGAGTAAACCTCAGAAAGCCGACCAAGTCTGCTGGGGCCTGGCAGAAAAAAATAAAAGAGACTTGATAATTTTTTATTTTCCAATGCCCACAGTACTCTTAGTCATGAATAGTTTAGGGGCACCAGCTCTATTCCCAAAAGAGACCAGTTATCTCCCTTTGTTCTCTGCTTGGTGAAATAATCAGGTCTTTGCCCTGCCTAAGGCTGCCAGTTTTGGTGTGCAGCTATGCGTCCTCCTCCTTGTGTGTATAGAATTTGAAGTTGCCCATAAAAGTTAAACTGGAAATTATACTCACCCCAGTTGAAAAACAATGAAATTATTAAAGTAGGAAACTAGAAGTAACATTTACTATCAGTCTGCAAGGGGAGTTTTTGAAATCATATAATAAAATTGCAATTAAGTTCAGCTAAAATTGCCTTGAAAAAATTTGGACAAAATCAGATATGACTCAAACTATTTACTTAGTTTGAAACGTGGAGAATCTCAAGCTAGTTTCACAGAGGTGGCTAGGTGTGACCCACTGGGAAGTAGAATTGCTGGCTCCTCTCTGCGTGACATGGGATACTCAGATTCAAATCTTCTCTTTGCCTAATTCAGAGCAGGAGTTTGAACCAACATCTTTTACCTCCTGGTGTGGGCTACAGCAATGGGTTGTTGGGTTTTTTCTTCCTGTAGAAGGTCTGCTCTGTAAAAAGTTTTTTGGTACCTATTTTTTTCATCTTTGCTGTGGGATGATAGGAGGCATTAGCACCGTCATTCCCTCTGGTTCCTCTGCTTGCTCTTGGGTTTGCCAAGTGGCACAAAATTTGTAATTCTAGCGCTCTGCTTTTATTAAAAATGCCAATGCAGATTTCTTTTTTCCTTAATTATTAAGGCTTTTTAAAGCAGTCTTGGGTTTGCTTGGTTGGGGGAATGATTTTAACAGAAGTTGGGCAAATAATGATTGCAGGGGATTTCATTGTTCAGAATAAAAACATGCCTAGACTGGCATTAAGAGAAGTAGCAGAGAGGAGCTTACCATTTGGACTAGCTTTATCCTTAGATAGGCAGAAATTCAGAGAAAATCTAAATGATGTAATGACTTCAAAAATTGTTTCACCGATGGATGAGATTGCATTTATATGCTTTTAGTTAGAGGTGGAAAATCAGAAACTTCGCTTGATCAACCAAAAGCAAACCAAAGAGATGAAAACAGTACAATCTAAACTGCAAGGTAAATGTACAAATCTTTTAAAATCTTCTCTATATATGGTGTAATTCTCTCTATTCCATATTAATTTGTGCATCCACATAATTGAAGTATTCTGTGAAATCACAAAGATTTCAGTTAGCATGAATTTACATCAGAGTAACTGTATGTGAAGGTGTTAGGCAACCAATAATTTAATTTTTATTAAAAAGACACACAGACAAACCACAACTGGTTTTTGTTGGGTGAACGAGTATCCCTGTTATTTAAGAGGTTCTGCAAGTAGTAGGATTTGACTGTATTCATGTCAGATCTTTGCTTTCACTTATTTATAGCACAGTCCTAGCACTGTCAAGGAATAGATGAATGTCAGTTTGCATCTGCTTTTTCTAGCAAATGCTCAGCTGGGAATCAGAATTCTGATCAGATTTTTTTAATTATTAATTTGACTACAGTGATCCAAAACCTTAATTCAGCCACAGCACCACCAGGTGCCTCTCCAAATGGATATAGTTAATCTAAAAATTGTAAAATGTATATATGGGAAAGAGGAATATCCTTCCAAAGAGCATTATTTTGCATTAATCCAAGTTGAGTTTTATTTGCTACCATGTTGCCTGTTCACCAACTTTATTAAGTCTCTCTGAAGGTTCCAACAGTCCTCTCCATACTTGGTTGACCTGAGAACTTACTATCATCTGAAAATCTTTTTAGTTTGCTACCTAGTCCTCATTTCTTGATAATGTATCTCATGTTTATATGTACATACACAGATGTTTAGAAATGTGTATATGTGCATAAATATATGTGTTTGTACACATCTAATATGCATAATATATGAAAAAACAAAATACATACACAATATGAAGCTTTTAAACTAAGATGCATCTCTATTAATGAAGAAACTGGATTGTTTGGTTTCTTTGCTATTTTTTTCATCAGTAGCAATTCTATATACTGCAGCACTTAACAGCTCTAGTCATCCTCTTCTGAGAGATATATTCAAAGGCTTTTTGAGACACTAAGAATTTGTCAGCTAGTTTTCAACACACATTTACTGATATGCTCAAAAATATTAAGAAATTTATTACCATTTGCAGTGTCCATGCTGGTAACAGGCTATGAATTATGATCATGTGGTACTGTTTTAAACAGTTCACAGGTGTGGATAAGGGCCTTTTGTTCCTGAATTGGCCACAGACCTTTTAATAAACAGGGATGGACAGCACTGTTTCATATCAGTTTCTGGCAGAATAGCTGTCCCTGAGGACAGCTTTCATATTCCCGAGGCAGTTAATCATTTCGTGCTTTCACTTTCTCTTGAAGTCCTCCATATATACCTTCTAAGCCTGGTAACTTACTCCTCTTTATATTTGCTGTTGCACCTATTACAGATTCTCTTAATATTTTTATCTAAAGGGAAGGCTGCCACATATTGTAATGCCATTGTTCTACAGTCTTTCCCATATTATATATCCTAGGCCAATCCATAGGTTTAAATTCAGTCACAGCAGAATAAAATCAGGTATTTCCACTAGGTTTTCATTCTGTATTAAGTGAATGTTTTACATCTTATTGCTGTGAAATTGTTAAAAGAGACTTTTTTTCTTTCTATACTAAAAAATCAATCTTTAAGAACTAGAAATGTAGCTGTGGGTTTCTTTTGATATGGGGAGGTATCAGGTAGATTTTTATTCCTATAATAATTTTTTTTATCATCTTTTTGCTAAATTTTAGTTACCTTTAAAAAACAACAGCTTTACACTGCAGAGTAAAGAGACCAGTAGCGTAGTTTTCTGTATCCCATTAACACAAGATTTCTGAATTACTATTCTTCAGAAGCTACGGGCAAGAAATCTGTTACTTCAACACAAAAACCTGGAGAGTGCCAGCGACTAAGCAGTTTGACATTTGGATGCTTTTCAAATAGAGCAAGAAGTCCTCAACCATCTCCTAAGTTTGAAGAAATAAGCAAGTCTTCATCTAAAGAGTCAGACTACACTGAAGGCGAAAACATGCTAGGTACTTAGTCACCAACTCTGCCATTTTATTCTGACACAGATGGGAAACTAAAATCGACAACTATGTCAGTGTATCCAGACAAGCTGTTTTTAAAGTACATAGCAGTACTCTCTCCCTCCTTAATGCTAGTCTCTGTTACTAGGAAGAAATCCTGTTGAGCACTACAATCTCCATAATACCACTAATACATTGTTTGGCAGCACACAGTGGCTGACAGGTGCTTTGGCTGCAAAGGAAGGAATTTGTTGTGGCCCAGGTTTGCTCCACAGTAGAGTAAGGAGTGTAAGGCTGCCAGTTTCCCAGGAGGGCTGTTAACATTTTTATGCCTGTGTAGAGTCTCACCTAAGTCCTGTTTCTGTATATTTTATCTATGCTATCACTGGTGTCCCTGTGCTAGTTTTATGCCCTAACTCAACAAGATCCACTCTAATCTCTCATTAGTATGATGAAGGTCAGAAAAAGCAGAAGAGAGTCTCAGGCATCTTTTCACACTATTGTTTCCTGTCCAAAAGAGAAAGCTCCCTGATCAGTTCATACAATTTCCCCAACAAGCCCTGAAGTCTGGAAATGCCAGCAGACTGGCATGCTGTTATGCTATTATGAGCAGCTTGCTGATTCCCTTAAGTAATGAAAAGCCCAGGAAGTAAGAGTGTTGCTTTGGTCCTTCATTTTGAGTCCTACGGCACCATTCATGACTTCAGCATTTTCCCCACAGTTAATCATGGTACCCAAAATCGCAAGCTGAGGTCTGTAGAAAATCAGAAACTGAAATAGATCTTATTAATATTTTGTGTATTTAGATGACGCCCAGTTCATTGTAAAGGTAGGTATGTATGATTATTTCCATTTTTATAGACGAGGAAATTGATTAAGAATTTTTTTTTCAAGAGAATGGATAAGAAATAGAACCTAGATGGAAATAGATCAATTTCTGTGACTTCATTACTTTAATGTGGACTAAATGAAAATCTTTGTCTTATCCAATCCACTTCATACAACTATTTAACATTGACTCTCCCAAGTCACTGTGTTCTTAGAAAAGCCCTAGTTCTTGCATCTGTTTTAACTCAGGGGGAGCACATAGGCCTCACTGACACAATGCAAGCTATAGCTCTCTCTTGCAAAACCAGGTAAAAGTGAACAGTGTAAGCAAAGCTATTTTTAATACAGTGTCCTTCCCTAAGTATTTTTCATAAGCCTCTCTTGTGTATCTTAAGCATTCACCACTGGGAATACAGTAATAGCTTGCAGAAGAAATTTCTGTATATAAACACAGTAGGAATGCTCAGAATACCTGCATTGTTAATGTAAATCTTTTTTGACGAGGTTTTACTGAACTTTTCCTTAGTCTGAAAAAAGCAGCTAAATTTATATGCCCTCTTAAGCCTTTTTTTGTTGTTGGTTTTGGTTTTTTATTGCTTTGTTTTCATACATATCTGTTTTACTTTAAAATACAGCTCCACTGTGCTCATCTTTACATTTATTGCTGTTTTTAATTTGGCTAGAACTTTGAGTAATGTCTGTTACATGTTTTTGGCAAACATCGTTGCAACTTCAGTTGCATTCAAAAATTTATAATAATTTTCTTTGAGTTTTATTACTTAGATTATTCAAAAAACTTAAAGGTGCTTACACATTTGAAATTATTACCTAGTTACTATTTGCAGACGTGATGACAAAATCCTTTAGCAGTCAAGTTTGCTAAAGTAATTTTCTCATGTTGATTGTATTTCTCCTCTAGAGAAGGATATCCTGGAAACTACCTTTGCTGGTCCTGCACTTGAAAGCAATACAGGTCAGAAGTCATTGCAACAAAGTTCCTCTGGATCAGAGCAGAACAAAAATGTGAGAACGAGCTGTTCATCCAAAGATATAGACAGCGACATGTCAAAGAACTCCTGCACTACCGGGAGTGACTGGAGCTCAGACGAGGATGGAGGAGAAAATAAAGGATTGAAATCCAGGTGTGCATCGACTCTCTCAAGCCACACATCTGAAGAGAACGCAAGGTACAGTAGAATGGGGAGTGAAATGTATTTGACAGCATCTGATGACAGTAGTTCTCTATTTGAAGAAGAGAGTTTTGGTGTTCAGAGGACTCAGCACAAGAATTTGTACTCCTGGCAGCAAGGGTGCCAAAGAAAAGGCCAGAACAATCCAGGTGGAAAGTGCAACTCAGACTTCACAAGTAAAAAGAAAGACCAAGATAGTTCTTCAGATGAACTCAATAAGAAGTTTCAATCTCAGAGGCTAAACTATTCATCCTCATCTAGTGAGGCAAATACCCCAAGTCCAATTTTAACCCCTGCTCTGACACCAAAACACCCAATTCTAGCAACTTCTGCAGGTTCTCCATGCACAATGCCATCAGATTCTCCCTCAAATTTGCCACCTCCAAAGTTACGGACTCCTAATGTGTTTAGTACAAATTCAGCATTAGCAAAGAAACATCTAAGCCAGCCCCAGCTGAGTTCTGACAGAATGTTTGGTAGAAATAGAAATGCCATAAGCATGATACGTCCATGGAGACCTCAGGAAACAGACATTGATCTGGTGGATGGAGAAGATAGTGGTATTTTAGAGAAAATGGAGATTGGCTGTGATGGAGTGTTTACCTATGACTGCACTGAAGCACAAAATTCTGAAGCCCAAGAACTTTGTGATACAACAAAAAAAGGTGCTAGCAACAAACCTCCAACCCCTCCATTACATCGATTTCCTTCCTGGGTAAGTGTAATTACTGATATTTTTCCTACTGGTGAAACTAATTCTTTTTCATGCTTCTCTTCTATGATTTTTGTTGCTTCTACCTTTCTCTGTTTGATGACAAGACAGGGAGTTACCTTAATTCAAACTAAGAGGACAAACTCAGAAGCAGCTTTTGTTTGAAGCACACTATTTCTGCTGTTGAAAAACATAGTCACTATTCTTGTATAAAAGACCAATTTCTTTAGCGTCACATCTATATTACATACATCCTTTTGAATATATCATTCAAGGTAATGCTTGTTACTGCACTTACTTATTTAACACCAACAGAGCCTAAGAGGGCTGGTGTCAATGCCTTTGCTTTAACCATTGTACCACCTATAATCTAGACAATTAAGTTGACAGAAGACAGCTACAGATTATGGAACTTACTGATCACTTTTCCAAGTAAAATTTTAAAACCATCAATCAGGGAATTAAAATAGATATTAATATTTCTTACACAAAAGCCAAAATTAACTGTGTCTAGACTCACTTCCACTTCTTATTGTGGCCTTTTAACACAAAACTGTTGAAAAGTTGCCTCCATAATGGCATTTCTCTGTTCTTAACATACAGTCTTCCATTAAAAAATATTCTTGCCATCACTTCTTTGCCCTCAGATAATGTATTTTTTAGAAGTGACCTATAAGGGCAATCATTGTGTGAAAAAAGGTTGAAACAGAGTGGGTATGGCATATAAAACAAGCATGCATTCTTCACCTGCTACTGATGACACCGCTTTATCATATGGTTGTACTAACACAGAGACTTGGAGGCTATGGGGAGGCTAAGCAGAAGAGAAGTAATTGTTGTGTTTTAATTCTCTACCATCAAATCCATTCTGCTTATATAGGAAAGCAGAATTTATGCTGTAGCCAAATCTGGTTTAAGGATGTCTGAAGCTTTCACCATGGAATCTCTTAACAAAAGTAAGTGGTTTAGCTGTTTGTTGTTTCACAAACAAAAATTCTCTTCTTATGGTGATTTGTAAGTAAGGACCAAACTTCCCACGTTCCTCTAAGATACTTTCATGAAGATTTAGTTATTTGCTATTTAAAAACTAGAACATCATTGGTTATTTTTCCAATGTCTTCTATTACCTTGCCTCTTGACTTTGTCCCAAATTTGTACTTTATTCACTCCAGTTTTCTTTGCAATTCACTTCAAAGATTCTATGCCAGGTACCAAAGTAAGAGACTATACTTTCAATTTAAAAAGGGTTAATGGTCATGACTACAGTTTAGTTATACTCCTTAAAACAACTGTAAATTTCAAAAAGCTATAAATCTCACATCCAAAACAGTTCAGGATTTAGTTTGCTTTTTATAGCAGTTATACAATGCAAAAAATTACATTAGAATTTGGTTAATTGAGGGGTAAATTAGGAAGGTAATTTATACAATATGTTGCTTTTTTAGGTGCTGTTTCACTAACTTCATACTCCATATCCAGATTATATACATCCCTGATATATAAGAACATGACCACTCCTGTCTACACCACTTTGAAAGGGGTAACTGTATTACTGTTTAAAGGAAAATTTTTAATACCATTAGGCTTCACACCCAGGAACTTGCTGTTTCACATTTGATGCGACCATTCCAAATATGTCCTAAGATAATGTTTCTAGAGATCACAGAACCCCAGAAGTCATGGAAATGTTAAATAGCTGGAAAAAAAAAATATTGCTGTTATAAAATATTACTAGCCCAGGTCAGTTCTTCTTAGGTTCCGTGCTGATTTTTTCCAAAGGCTTGTTAATTATTAAACAGAGCCACATGGCGTTCAATGCCATAATTAAAAGTGTGAGAGTGTGTGTGTGTGCGCGCGTGCGTGTAGAAATGTCTTTGTGTCAGTGCCAAAGCTGTTCATAGTCAGATAGCCAGCAGTAACTAATCACAGCATTGTTTGTTTTCTGGCAGCCTTTTGTGATTTGGAAAGACCCATGCCTTGAGCTACCTCAGGTTTCTCTTTTGAAGTGTGGGGGTGGTTGAGGGTACAGAGGGAATTCAGTTTTATGTTGATATCTCTGTGCCAAAATGCACAACCCAAGTAAGAATAGGTTTGAATGTTAAGAAGCCAGCAGAGCTCTGCTACGGTATGAAGGAAATGACTGATACCCTTTATGCAAGGTATCAAAGAATGTTCTGTTTATTTCTGCAGAAAGCAACTCAAATAAGCAACAGCCCATTTATAGATGAGTCGTCAGGATCTGAGGAAGAAGACAGCTCTCGGTCCAGCTCAAGGACTTCTGAGTCTGATTCTCGAAGCAGAAGTGGTCCGGGTAGTCCTCGGGCTATGAAACGAGGTAGGCAAAAACTGTAAGAACAAGTAACTTCTGGGAAGTTTGGAAAACTAGTCAGTTTACATGATCTTCTTAGAAATGGATTTCTTCCTTAAACAGCATGGACATCTTAAATCTAGGCTCTTATCTCAGCTATCAAAGCCTACATCTATTATTCAAGCAGTAGAAAGGACCGTGACACATGGCTTTTTATTGCTGTTATTATAGATGGCTTTTTAAGGTATTAATCTAGTATCTGGCTGTTGTCATGCGGGAAAAGTGACTTGCACCTTTAAAGCAAGAAGCTCCATTCTATCTATACTCCATCATGCCAAGGACTTCCTTGACCTTTAACTGTAGGTAGGTAAAAATGGCCCAGAAAAAAGTAATTGCCATCAGAAAAAAACCCCACATGTATTTAGGTTTATAAAACCAATTAACAGCTTAACATGATCAGAAGGCAGGTGGAAAATTTCCCTCAACAGAGTATTTGGTTGTGTCATCTCATGCAGTGAAGGACTTCTTTCATTTTTACATGGGGAGACAAAGGAGACTAAGATCTAAGATCCTAGTGAGGCCAGGTGTTAAGACCTTTCATTATACGTTGCTTTAGAAATGCAAAATAACATTACTCAGTTGTTCCCGTTAAACATATTAAAATCCCAGTTAGCTGGAGCTCCACTCAGTCACACTTGAGCAGGTAGATCCAGCCATGGGTCCACTAGGAGTTTTCCAGTGCCAGCCACATGTGGCGTTGAATCCTGTTTGCAGTGATGTGGCCAGCAAGTTGAGGGAGGTAATTCTGCCCCTCTGCTCTGGTGAGACCCCACCAGGAGTCCTGCGTCCAGCTCTGGAGCCCTCAGCATAGGAAAGACATGGACCTGTTGGAGTGGGTCCAGAGGAGGGACACTCAGAAACGATCAGAGGGCTGGAACACCTCTCCTGTGAAGAAAGGCTGAGAGAGTTGGGGTTGTTCAGCCTGAAGAAGCAAAGGCTCCGAGGAGACCTTCTTGCAGCCTTCCAGTACTGAAGGGGGCTTGTAAGAAAGATGGGGAGAGACTTTTTAGCAGGGCCTGTTGCAACAGGACAAGGGGTAATGGTTTTAAACTAAAAGAGGGTAGATTTAGACCAGATAAAAGGAAGAAATTTTTCACGAGGGTGGTGAAACAGTGGCACAAGTTGCCCAGAGAGATGGTAGATGCCCCATCCCTAGAAATGTTCAAGATCAGGTTGGATGGGGCTCTGAGCAACCTGATCTAGTTGAAGATGTCCCTGCTCATTGCAGGGGGATTGGACTAGATGACCTTTAAAGGTCCGTTCCTACCCAAACTATTCTATGCTTCTGTGATTCTATGCAGTTACAGTTTTGCTACATTAGTGTGAAAAGGACCCATAGTTCTTGCTTCCCAGCAGCACCATCTTGCTGAGCAAAAACCAGTGTTGTGGATGCAGATGCATCTCATGTTACATCCTTGCACAACAGGAAAGGTAAATTAGCTAATTTAATACCTGGTTTCATCTACAAATCGTATTTGTGTCTATAAAATGGAACCATGGCCATTGTTTGTGCTTTCTTCTCAGAAAATAGTCCTTGGATTGTTTCATGGAAGTCTTTCTTAACCACAAAATACATACATACATATCTTTGTTGAGATCATATTGTTCAAAAATTTAGACAGTCACAAATTTCACTAGGCACATAATTAGCTTGCTGCATATTTGTTATTAAAGATCCTACATGAGAACAGAAGAGACTCTGAAAGCCCAGGTGGCTTACCAAAGCAATAAATGAGAAAAGCTTTTTTTTTTTTTTTTTTTTAAATAAAATCGGCAAATTAGTCTAGAAATTAATGAAACAAAGGAAACAAGGCATATTCATTTCAATCTTGGGAGAGTAATCTTTCAGAAAAGAACACTAATCAGAAAGTAAAACTTTACAAAAGGACATGCTCACATGTTTGAAAATAATTATTTCTATGATGAGTAAGGGAGGAGTCTGAATTTTTCTTACTGATTCACTAGAATTGGAAACAGGGTGCATTTTTTTCAGGATTAAAGCTAATAAACTAAGCTAATAAAATCCTGAAATCTGGAATTCAGATTTTTAGAAAACCTCAGTATAAAAATTCATACGAATTGCAAAGTAAAGACAGTCACCTACAACTTCAACATATCTCAGATCTTGAGCATAGCTTCTTAATACACAAGCAGTGGCATGAGAAACCCAGATACTAGAGTGAATGACGGAAAGGGCAAGGGGAAGGTTGCTTAGTTTAATTAAAGATCCTGTATTCATTTTCTAGAGAATGAGTATGATGCATGCACTCCCTCCCTCCTTACAATATTCTGTAATATTACAGAAGATTATAATATATAGCAGACATTTATTTGTTGTTTCATTCACAAGTGACTTAAACTCTGCTTAATTATGAAGAAAATGGGATTCAGGTAATAGCACTGCGCTAACCGTTTGATATGCTGATATTTTAAAAAATGCTCAGTTCCGGATAGATTTATGTTGATACTTGTGTTTGTCTGCAGATTTCACTCAGATATTCTTTTTGTATGGATATTCTGATCTTATTGGTTTCTGATGAAATAAAAAAAAAAGCAAAGAAATATCCTTCTTCTTTTAACTCAGGGGTGTCTCTGTCTTCTGTGACCTCAGAAGGTGACTATGCTATTCCTCCAGATGCATGTTCAGTAGATACAGACTATTCGGAGCCAGAGCAGAAACTTCCTAAGACCTCCTCCTCATCTAGTGATAATGGAAAAAATGTGAGTACTTAAGTTCTGTGAAGAAGTGTACCTGAGGTGCTACGTGTACATTTGTGTTCAAAGACTGCTACCAAATCTCTATAATTCAGTCTTGCTGACTCACAGACTGCCTTATGAGTACAAATAGCAAAATACACCAACAATAAAGTGGAGGATAATTCTGAGCTTTGTAATGTAATGAATGGAAATAGGTAAACAACTCCAGAAGACACTTCAAAGCACTTAAGATTTTCCTTTCTTGGAACCAGATCTGCTATCAGATTCCATGTGAAATACTAAAATCAGCTTATTTTAATATTTAGGGACACGGAAGGAGTTGGAGGCATTGGTAGAAATCTGTGTGCAGTAATATGCTTCTGTAGCTTTCTCATGCAGGGAAAACAACTTTAGGCGTTAGAGAAATCATAAGTAGAGTGACATGCGAGGACAGGTCAGAGAGACCAAACCATTACAGGGTACTGGTCTGTTTTTTAATGTCCTGTCTTAGCAGTTAGTGTCTCGACATACAAGTGGATTGACTGCCTGGTGATGAAGAGAATTTATTTTAAGCTTTCTTCACAAAGCAAAACTGTGAACTCTGTTATACAGGTGTACACACTAGAAGTATGTCTGTGCGGAGCTCTGAATTACAGTGCTTTATATGGCTGGTCTGTAGGTTAGGCCCTGATGTTGGGGAAAAAATACGTATTTACATTGTATTCATTTTGTTCCTTGCTTAATATAAATAATTAGAAAGTAAAATCAGGAATCATCATCATATTCTTCATTCTTTTGTATAGTTCTGTGCAAATCACTCTTCATGTACTATAACTGTAAGCAGGGATATTAAGTTATCCCAAATGCATAGCATTTGTCTTAATTGAGGCTTGTAAAAAATTTGTCATTGGACTAAAGTCTCATCAAATACTGTAATTATTACTTAGCATGCTTTTAAGTCATTAAAATATCTCTCTGTATGTATTTATACATATCTCCGAGGGGTATAGATATATATGTGTACCTAAGTACTTTTTATCTAACTTTTGAATAATCAGGAACCTTTGGAAAAATCTGGATATCTGTTAAAAATGGGTGGTAAAGTAAAGACCTGGAAACGACGGTGGTTTGTGCTTAAAGGAGGTGAATTACTATACTACAAATCTCCAGTAAGTACATGTAACTTATCTGCTATTTAATATTAGATTGTTTTTACAATCCTGGGCTGCTAGAAGGAAAAGAAATGGATTCCTGGTGTCTGAGCTGTTAAGAGTGTGATTCAGAACTCAGTTCCTCAAGAGGTGTATGAGGTACTCAATGACTAACTAGGAAGTATTTATCAAGATTAATGTTTACATGAGTTCTGTAATTATTTATTGCTATTTGTTGGTAATTTAAAATATTCTTTTTCCATTCTTTCCATACAGAGTGATGTCATTCGAAAACCTCAAGGTCAAATTGAGCTAAATGCATCTAGCCACATTGAAAGGGGCGATGGAAAACAAACAATTCAGGTGCCTGCTTTTCTCATTTGTGTTTCAGCGGGTATTTATTCCCTCCATCCCCAAAACTGACCCCTTGTTCACGTCCCTGTCACACTGGAAAAGTCCAAGCATGCACTTGGAATTAATCAGTGCCTTTTGTTTGAAACCAGTTACAGAAACTGTAGAAAGGCCTACATGTAGTCTTGTTTGTATTGCTACAAAGGTCAGATCGTCACATATGAGATACAAAGAGAGAGTAGTCTTGGGGCCAGCCATTAGGGTTGAGAGAAGTTGTTTGTCTGAAAGGACATAAAGTGAGTTTTCTCAACTCTGCTGTCCTGGAACTTTTCAGATAAAGCCTTAGAAAAGGTCTGTCTGCTCTGCCTGGCCACGGGATGTTTTGTTAATGAAAAGTACGTTGGGGAAAATAAACTCCCCAAAGTTGTGAAACTACATTGGGTAGTGTATGTTACAACCCCCACACTGTGGGGTCAAACGTATAATGTTCTTAAAGCTCAAGACTCTTCTGTTGCTACATAGCTGACCACAGAAAAACGAACATACTACCTGACTGCAGATTCTCCCAACATCTTAGAAGAATGGATCAAAGTACTACAGAATGTTCTCAAAATACAGGCTGCCAGCCCACTTTTCATACAGTCTGAAATCAAGCCAACCATGAAAGGATTACTTACAAAGGTAGGAATACTTTTCTTCCCCCAATCTGCTTGATTCCATATTTCGTAAGGATAGTATCTAGATGAAAATGGCCCTACAATAAAATAAATGCAAGCAAAACAGACAAGTATTTGCTTTCCCAGTACTTTACAATGCAAACAATCCAGAAGTACTACTAACTCACCTACCTAGGGCAATATTTTTCTTCTGGTTGTTTGATTTGATTTGAATATTTTTGTCTTTTTAATTCATTAGTTCCTGTGTTGAGTTCTCCATTGGAACTTCAATGGTATCCTAGTTCAGCATATGTTTCAGTAGTTAATTGGCCTACCTTATTTCAGTGCAGTGCTCTCTTTTGCAGTGTTACTCACTGGGACAGGTTATTTCAAGATAGTAAGAACATAAAAGGAATTTTTCTCTTTTAATTCTTCCATTTCCTTAGCTTCCACTACTTTAGGCCTGATCCAAAGCCAAATGAAAAACTCACACTGGACTTACTAGGCTTAAACTCACACTGGACTTACTAGGCTTTAGACAAGCATCTGATGCTTTAATTCTTATGCCCTTAATAGAGTTATGCAGTTTTAATTATTTTCTAGTAATGTGAAAAGGAATTTGAACGAAGGCCTTTATTCCCAACACCACCAACGTTCACGAGATGCTGAAATGTAGTCTATAATTCTCTGGCTGTGTTTGTTCCTAATGTTCTGTCATTTCAGGTGAAACATGGATATTCCAAACGAGTTTGGTGTACCCTAGTTGGAAAAATTCTGTATTATTTCCGTAATCAAGAAGACAAGGTATGTCCCTTACTTGTTTCCCCAGTGAATGGAAGATAACATACTGACGTTGACTTTAAACAGGCAGTTACAGCTTTATTAAGATACAATTGGCCTGGATACTATATGCCCATTTTATCTTGATTACCAAACATTTAGACTTCACAGATTGTCGACTTGGAAGGTACCTATCTAACAGAGAGCAATCCAGGGCACGCCCATTGGTCTCCTTCTCCTACGGGATGTGATGTATATTCTGCATCTTCTTATCCCTTGCCAAAGGAGGACACTGATTTGCTGACAGTTCAGGTCTCCCTTCTGACAGGTGTAAGACTCATCAGAAAAGACCTGGCTGTCATTTACTTCTGGAAGCTGACCCTTCCTAATGTATGTTTGCAGTAGGCAGTGACTGCAAGTTTCAAGAAATTAAATGTTCTATCTATCCCTCAACTGACTTGCAAATCCTGTTCTTTGGTATGCCACTGTACCTCCACAGTGCTGCAAGAAAGACAAAAAAAAAGGCACCTAACCGGATGCAGAGTTTGCTGCTTTGCAGGTGTGTGTTTGTGGAGGGGATCTGTTGCCATTCCCCATCAGGGTTACAGAAAAGGAGCACACTGTCTACAACTGATGAGGTGGACAGAAATGGAGATGGAGGACGGCAAAAGAAAGGGATGAGAAAATTACCTCTAAAACCTAGGGAAAATAATGTTTGAGGAAGAAAAGGAAGAAATGGCATCCAGTCAGCTTTAAGTTAACCTCCCAACATCCCATATACTGTAGGACACAAGGAGCTAAGGAAGAGCAAGAGCTGGCTCTTCCACATTGGGCCTGACCTTTAGTTCTCTACCCACACTTATGAATATTGTTGGTCCTAATATTTCTAGTCATTTACATACAGAGACAGAACAAAGGACACTTCCTAGTCATACTTACCACCTGTCCTTTTGCTCCCAAGGCATTGTATTTTGTCATCAAGAAACATCTTTTTAATTGGGGTGGGTCAGGAACAAGACTTTGGAAACTTCTACAAGAATTCGTGTTAATACTGCTGAGGCTATGAATATTTGATTCATACCCTTATTACCTAGCTCTACCAAAAAGACTGCTGACACTTGACAAAATGGTAACAGTCCACTAAGCCATTATAACCAACAGTTCAAAAAATACAGAAAGTCTTAATTTGTTACTTCTAATCTAACTAACCAAATAATCACACCGGACCCAGTAATTTATAGTCTTTATAGAAAGTTAGTTATTCCCTTTGTTATCCTTTCCTTTTTTAGCCATTTTTAAACATTCAACTAAACTTTATTTCTAGAACTATATGAATAAGATAGCAATAACCATTCATCAAAAGATTTTATTTTAATTACTCTTTTTAAAAGTGTAATATAGGGCTGGAGAATCAAATGACTAGAGTACTAATCTCTAGCTCATATCAGAGAGACATTAAAATTAACTTGCATTTTCTCCTATGAAGAGATCTTTATGTTTAAAGTATCTGAATTTACACATTTTACCATTGAAGATTTTGGCGTGCCCTTTAGAAGCATCTAAGAATTTTGCTGGATTCTTGTGAATATTTCCCCTGCATTTGGAACAAGTTTTGCTGCCCTTTTAAAGCAAAATTGAAACTAATTTGCTAGCTTGTAATAGAATAAGAATTTAGCTTTTGTAAGCAGAATACATATGAAAAGTTTTCCAAAGCTAGTTCATTTCTGATGTTCAACAATTTGCTAATTAAAAACATGTTTGCTGTAGCTGAATGTGTCTGTGCGGAAACAAATTACACAATCTGCAGTGCTTAATACAGTAATGGAGTCCATTTATGTGGCCTCCTTTCAAAATGGAATTCAAGTTAAAAAATCAGCCAACTATGTTTTAGGTAAACTTGGTGAATAAATCAGTCTTGACTATTTGTATGTGAAATGGGATTTCTTGATTCTCAGAATCTTAGCTTGTTCAAAAAGTTGAATGCTTCAGAAGCACCACAGAAAATACAAATAACCCAATGCATCTTTAATCCTTACTAGTGAGAGCACTGGAATAAAGAGCAACCACTATGTGATGCTTTCTTCAAAATGATTATATTATCAACTGCTGACTTTTATCAAATCACTGTTCAAGAAACCCACCCTAGATTAAGTCAAACTTGCCAGCTACTCTCCAGTATCTATTTTTAAACAGTATTATTGAGAAGCCTCATCTGCTTTTCACTGTTGTTGATATTTCAAGACAACTTACTTCAGGCTTACACTTGAATGTGGCACAAATAAGACGCTAGTTACTGTAGTATAGTGCCCAACTATCCTTTTACCAAAGGGAAACAAATATGCCCCTCTTTCTGCTGAATCACTAAGCATTGCTAGACATCACAAACAACACAGAAACAGCAACTAAGGCTTCTTCACCATTGAATTGCACTCT